ATTTGCATGTCTTCTACCTCTGAATGTGAATTCATGTTGCTTGTCAACAAAGTTGGGGCATGACGAACTGTATGTTATCTTGAACGTTGATCTTGGCGGCGTTGGAATAGGCGATTATTGTACTTCACAGCTTGGCTAATAGCTTTGTTAAGCATTTGTGGATCAGGAAGAGTTAACAGCAAATCCTTCACATCGTCTCTTAAACCCCAATAGAATTGACTCATCAACGCTTCTTCGTCCCAATTGATGTTGCATACTAATTGCCTGAAGTCCGATGCATAGACTGATGTAGAGTGCATCCCTTGTCGTGGTGACCGGATCTTTGTTGTAGCCCATCGAACCTTGTTGTGTTCACCAAATGCTTCCGCAAACACCTCCAAAAAGGTTTCAAAGTTGTTTAGTATGGACGATCGTTTCTCAAACAAAGGAGCAAACTATGATAGAGCTTGTTCTGTAAGTAAGGTTCCAACAAGCCCAACACGTGACTCCTCCGTTGGATAGCGTTCAGGCTGTAAAACTATTATCAACTTGATTTGATTAACGAATCCTCGAATCTTGGAACGCGTACCATCGAACTTGTCCGGAAGGCTAATTTGGGGCTCCTTATGTTATAGAATCAGCGGTGCTTGTCGAACCTGAGGCAAAGTTGCTTCTCCAAGTGTAGAAGTTTGAGGCTCGTGCAACCTAGATTGTGCCATCCCAGATGCTCCATCATTATGAAGCCTTGCCACGACTCCTTCAATCTCTGCAGTTCTTTGCAATAACGTAGCGAGGGCATTCATGATAGCATCCAACTTGGACTCCGAACTTTCCGTCATACTAATGTCTTGGCCTCCGGCCATTCTAAGAGAAGGACAAAAATGACTGTACAAGAAGACAATATTGGTTTAGAGGAGGGTACTCCGCAACCTCTAAAATGCCTTAAGAGCTTCAAGAAAAGGGATAATCCACTCTCTCCAAGAAGGATAAGACTCCAATATTGTAACAAAAGAAGTATCAGTTTAGAGGAGGGTAATCCGCAACCTCTAAAATACTAGTACACTTCGAAGCAGAGGGATAATCCGCACTCTAACGAGGAAGAAACTAGCTTTGATATCTGAGGTGAGTGAAGTCTTGACAAACTGTCACGGACATAGAAATACAGACTCGAGATCTAACAAGAAGTTCAAGAAGAACTGGCAAGAACTAGATTAATCAGATGAATACAAGAACAACACCAGAGAGGTGAACTAGAGCTCTAAGAGATGTGTTGTCGAGACTGAAGAACTCTTCAGCCTCGATTCCAATGTATACTCCTATTTAAGAAGCTTCTCAAGCAACTTCTACCAACTAGGAAACTTTTAGAAGGTTCCAGAGACTTGCTTCTAGAAGGTTCTAGAAACTTGTCTCTAGAAGGTTCTAAGGACTATGTTCCTAACATCTTCTATCATTTAGGAAGCTTCTCAAGTAATTTCCATGAACTAGAAAGCTTCTCAAGTAATTTCCATGAACTAAGAAGCTTTTAGAAGGTTCCAGAGACTTGCTTCTAGAAGATTCTAGAAACTTGTCTCTAGAAGGTTTTAAGGACTATGTCCCTAACATCTAGTTTGTTGTAATATGAATTGCATCATGTTATATATATATATATATATATATATATATATATATATATATATATATATATATCAAAAATTTGCCAAAAAAGATTTCAAATTGTCTAATATTAGATCACATTGTTTAAAAAAAAATAAAAACTATAATAATATAAAATTAAAAAGTAATATTTCAATAAACGTTACTTGTGATCTTGGTGTTCAATAACTTTAGGATTGAAGTTCAATTGCTAGTTGTACTTGATTGATGAATCCTTGAATCTTTGATCTTGTAACATAAAACTTTTCAAATAAGACAATTCTTAGTTCTCTAGTACTTTAATGGTATTCCTCCATAAAAAATAAAAAAAAAAATTACGATTTGGTGCAAATATTGAAGAAGCTCCAATTATATCTATATCTCCACTTTCTATCATTCTTGTTCCTCTTTGTGGTAGTAAATTGAGTTAATACATTGCAAACATTAATTCTCTCAATTATTCTTACTTTTATGCCATTGTACTCTTCATTTTGATAAGCTTTGCCATAATAACACTAAAAAGAAAAGAGATGTTTAATATTGCTTAAGACAAGTAAAAGAATGAACTTAAGAACAAAGAAAATGATAAAAAAATAATATCAATTTAAATGAGGGTAGTTTGTAACTTTTAATACACTTTTGTCTTATCAAAAAAAAAAAGGAATAATCCACTTTTAATGAAGAAAAGATGAAGCTGTGATATTGTAAATATACTCTTATCAATCTATCAAGGATAAGAATTCAATGAGAACAAATAAACAAGTGAGACTTTCTCAAAGAAGTATAATAAAATAAAAATAAGGAAGTATGTATATTAAAAGGAAATTAAAATGGCTATTGCTAAAAGATAAGAAAATTAAAAACTTCTTGAAACTAGACTAGAACAAAAAAAAAGAATTGATAAGAATGAAGAAGGCTTTACTCTTACATCTATATATACTATCTACCTAAGAGCTATTTAGTGACGTTGTATAGGACCTCCAAAATGTATTGACTTTGCACAACACATATCTTAATTCATAAGGCAAATCTTCTATATAGAAGCCACATAGTTAGCTTATTCTATAAGCTACCAATATATGTGGCTTGTGGTTAACTTCTTGATCAAATTTCTAATATACCAATCAACTATAAATACATATAAAATCAATGCATTTTCTATGAAGCTTCTAGGAATCTTCTCTAGATGATATTATGAAATTAATCTACTTTTACTTACTTCCACCTATTCATATCACATAGGTAATAATTATAATAAACATATGTATATGACAAAATCTCCTCATTTTACAATTTGAGTGCATTGAGTTAAATTTTGAGAGGTTTTGATTTTTGGCATTGTTTCTTTTATGTATAAGATAAGACAATATATAAAATAATTACAAATTTAAGATTCATGCTAAAATTATTACATTCTTATTCATAAAATATTTTAATAGCAAAGTAATGAATATAAAGTAATTATATTTACTAAAAATATCTTGATTGCCATTTATTATTTATTGATAAAGGTTTCCAAACTTTATATCTAGATAATTATCAAAAATTAAAATAAATAGTATAAAATATAAAATAGCAATAAAATTGCAAGTCCAATAATTTTTAGAATTTTATGTCATAAAATAAAAATCTTATTAAATCATTTAGCCCTTAAAATCTAAAAATATTGATTTCATTTTTATTTAAAATCTCTCACTACATAAGATAAGTTAAAATAAAATAATCATATAAACACATATAAATTAAAATTATATTCTAATTTTTTCAACTATTATAAGTCAAACATGTTTATTCTTCAATTTTTTCTAAATTCTAAAAAAAGCTAAAATAAATTAATATACTTTATTTTTAACTTTTAATACATAAAAAGATGATTGCTTTAATGTTGTACTATAATTGCAACTTAAATAGATCAATTCTATATTTTTTATAATTTTAGATGTAAACATTTAAAATTTATAAATAATTATAATTATATACTTAAATATAAAATATTAAAATTAATCATATAATCATTACATAAATGGTTACATTAAAAAATTATATTTTATATTTAAGAAATTAAAGTAAATAAAAAAAATATAATATTATATCTATATTATGACATGGGTTGTTGGAATGGTGTGCCAAAACTAAGCTTAGTTTGATTTGATTTTGACTTGACACACTAAGCCTTCATTAAACAAGAATTAATTTAAACAAATTACTAACTCTACCTTGCAACAACCATATTAAAGATAACTATGGAATATTATATTAAAGAAATGGAATTTCTATAGACGATGAATAGTAAGAAACTAACAATGCCATATTCAAAATATAAATTAAATATCATTCTTTACCTTGAACATTAATAATTCTTTTTCATAATTTTTGTAAAAATAAACTTAATAGAAGAATAAAATATGTGTGTATATTGGATAATAAATAATAAAATTATAATATGTATGAATTACCAATTTAATATATATAGTATATAAATAATAAATAATATCTCATAATTAATAAAGTTTTAAATTATCATTCTTAGTTTAAGGGAGTTTATATAAATATATATATATATATGAAATAAATAACTTTTAATTTTTTATGCTTTTATATTTAATTTATGGAACTATGTTTACATGTCTATACAATACTTTATATGAATTCAATTCTCTCAGCAACTCTTTATTTTAGGTTTATCAAGAGCTTTAAAATAATCATTTGGAGGTACACTATCTTTAAAAAAAATAAATCATAATATAGTAATAATTATACATCAAGTAAAAAAGCTTTCATCTTTATATTTTAGCAAACATACAAATCACAATACTTGATAGCACTTTGAAGCAAATTCAGTGATAAATGTCTCAGACTGTATTTTCTAAATTAAACTTTCATTGAATATGTCTTTGATAAAAACAACTCTCAATTATCATTATGCTTATCATAGCCCTTGAGAACTAACTAGTCAGGCGTTTCAACTCGTGGTGACTGATGAATTTATTTCATCTGTTCTATTTAACATTCTTCAGTTCATAGATTAGTATAGTGGATTGAGCCTCTACCGTTGAAAAGTCAATTACTTCAACTAGAAATACAATGTCAACAACAGTCCTCCACCTGCAAGAAACAATCTGCCACCTCCTACAAAGACTCCCATTGAACAGGTCTTAACTACTATTCTACTTCACAAGCGATTCTAAAGATGAAGACATTACCAGAACAGAGCATACCATGTTAAACCTCTTAGTCTTCAAAAACATAGATCCTAGAACTCACTGCTACATCACAAATCACAGCCAAGCCATCAACACCAGCTGAAACTCATTCAACCATCTTCGTTCTAAACTCCAGATATAAAGCTTACAATCCAAGTCCACCACCCAGTTAAAGACTTTCCCCACTGTGATTTTGTAATGGCTACAATGATCCAGTTAAAGGTGGCATCGACAGGCAATTCCTGAGACTTGGAATCGGCTATAAACGTCAACAGCATACTAACTTGAACTCCACAAAACATGAGAGAGAGAGAGAGAGAGAGAGAGAGAGAGGGAGAGAGAGAGCTCACAGCTTAAGAAGCCTAACCCTAAATATCCTGGGAAAAAAAACGCAGAGTAAAAACTTGGATTATTGATAAGCTTGTGCAAGAAAGCATGCAGAGCATGGTGAACTAAAAAAGTTTAGAAAATTGAAGGCATTTTGGGTAAGGCAGTAAGAGGGTTTTTATTAGGAATTTAAACGTGTTCATAGTGGATTGAACTAAACGAAACTTCTTTGTGAATCTAATCCTCTGAGGCAGGAGGGCATGCAAGAAACAATTGCCGTGAGAAACCAGACAAAGGGAAAATTGATCTCCTCAATTGTTGCCTCGGTAGAAATTCTTCAAAAAATCAGACTCCCCTTTAAAGGCCTCTCCGAGCTTCAACACGTCTCCGGTTAAACCTTCTCTTCCCACGATATACTGGGTCAGCAAATGGTGCCGTTGCTTGGAATGGTCAATGCAGTACTGAAGTTCCTCTCGTCCTTTAAACACTAGCATGTCAATCACCTGCACAGCCACCGCGAAATTCATCCCTCCACTTCACGTACGCACACGCACAAAATAGGCCCTAGTTCCTAGCCACGAAAATTGCATTCAGGGAGGGGAATTGAAACCACCTTGGGATTAGTGTTGTGATGATGTTTACGAAACTCGGAGGCAATTTTAGATCGCAAATCCGACAGGGTGATGACTTCGTACAAATTATACCGCTCCATTATCGATGGCAGCGCCCTGCAAGCCTCCCGGAAGAAATCGGTGGCGCGCTGCTGCGCTTCCTCCAAGGATCGAGAGCCAGGCCCAGTCTTAGTTACCCGCAGGTTTTTGATGAGCCCCGCCATTGCGAAACGTCTTCCCACGCCTCGTGCGCCCCTGCAAACAACAATCCACGGAAAGAATGCTCCAAATACAACAACAATCCCCGCGAGCACAATCTCTAGGGCTTTCGACGGGGACACATTCGGAGCCTGGTGTTCCGATCGACACCCGGTCACAACCCGATGACCCCCGCCTTCTGATTGACGACCTGGGTTTAAGCGCGTATGACTTGTTTATTCGCCCCCGGGTATTGGCATTGTCTTGGAATCTTGTTAACCTTAGAAATAAATAGGAAATTGGCATTTCCATCCACATTTTTACTATTTCCACCCTTCATGTGACCACATGATTAATTAGACTTGTTGGCTATGGTTCATTATAACAACCATTTCTAAGAAGTGTGAATCTAGGGGGGTTTAGGGTTCAGGGCATGGGGCAAAATGAAGAAGGCAAAGAGGAGATAGAAATCATAGACCTTTGTGAATGCAACATGCAACATGCCATTCGTAACTCCTTATGTAGTAGAACTACTATATCATGATGGTAGTTCCATGATAGGTGAAAATAATAAAAGTTTGGGTAGAAATACCAATTTCCAAAATATATTGACAACTGGCCAGGAAGAGCATTTGTTAGAGGATGTTCTTGCTTAAGTTCTTACAATATAAATTAGTCATTAAGATAACATGTACATTGTTATTGCATAATTTTTGCTTAGTCTTATCTTTATAAATCATCTTGCTTTTCAAAGATTTATTTATTTATTTTTGTTATTAGAAATGAAAGAATCAATAAATGTAAAAGTTTAAATTATGATTTCATATTCTCTTTAGAATTACATTCCCATCGACACCGACACTATCACCGCGGCTTTGGCAGCTTGGGGTCGCCCAGCGCCCAACTCGTTTCCTACCCGAGTGCTCGCGGAAGCGCCAATGCCGAAAGGAATCATGTAGAGTAGAGAGTCGCTTGTGAAGCAGATTGACAGACTGGAGGTCTCCAGCTGGGGGTTGGGCAGAGGCCCAGACAGGAGGACAAGACCTTCAAATGACCAGTACTGGGGGCAGATCATGATGGCAGAGGGGACAGCAAGTTTACAGAAGGTTGAAAGCTCATGAAATGCTTCCCCAGAGAATGATGTCCATGTTCTCTTGCACGTTGAGGAACACTTCACATATAAGCCTAGGAACACCACATTCAACCATGTCGATATGCTGGTGGCAATCGCGGCACTGCGGTGTCCAAACCCCAGCTTAAAAACCAACACCCAGAAGAGAGGGATGTGTACAGATAAAGTGGCACCGGACATGAGAGCCATGGGGAGCACCACGCTCTGTGTTAGGAGAAATTTTATCAATGGCTGTAAAGTAGCTAGTCCAAAAAGGGTAGGCACCAAGTATCGTGCGTATTCGCCCGCCATCTCTGCGATCTCAAGGTCTTGGCCCTGATATAGAAGCAAAGAGTTCATGTTCCACCTCATCACTGCGATTGGCACGCTCACCAGCCACAGAACAAGCATCGCGCGTTGCATGTGAATTCCCAGCATGTGGTACTGCTTCGCTCCATATGATTGCCCACAGAGAGTTTCCAGGGCGGAGGCCATGCCCTGAAGCAAGGTCGATCCCGTCACGCCGGCGAAGGAGCTTGCAATCGCTGCGCTGGCCAACTGCAACTCCCCCAAGTGACCGACGAACATGAGTGACACCACAATCAATAAGTACTGGATCATGGACACACAGACTATGGGCCCTGCAATGTGAAGCTGTTTCCGCACCTCCCCCCAAATCCATTCCGGCGTGCAAGAGATGCTCTCGTGACGTCTGCTGACGGACCTCGTGACACCATTCGCAAATGTTAAAATAAGTTCCTGTTGAGTCAATGGTTCGGATTCCGATTGCAAAAATGGCTCCTGCAATCCACGGCTTCTATTCTCCATAGTTCTGAAGCTTCAAACCCTGAATTGATAGTTTGAAAGTAAGCCGGTACCTCGGACTTCTGCGGCATAAAAACCATGCACCCGGGGATGAGTGCATCTAACGAAAACTACAATTATCGTGTACATCTACTGCGAGCGAGAAGGGACTAAAGCGCCCCAAGAATGCACGGGTCTTAACGGATGTTACTTCATGCATCTCCCTTCGAAACAAACTTACATGAAGAAAGCTTATTACGTGCGGGAAATTGCATTCCTGACGCGCTTCTCTCACTCCCACTCCGGCTAGACTTAGACTCTGAATTCTCGAATCCTCGCCCGCAAATTGGTGATTAGACACCCAAGTTCTCCTTCCTAGGTTACTGATTTGAGGCGGACAGAGACTCGCAGGACAAACGACTATACGGCAGAATCCTTCCCTTGTAACTGGATTATATTCATTGCCTTACAGATACTCTAGACCACTAACATAAATCGTAGACCGTGGGCTTCAAAGCGATCCCGAGCGCCAGAACACTGCATGGGTGGCAGTGGAAACTTCAGACTGCAGAGAAATCCATCAACGATTCCGGATCAATCGACGAGGTGCATTGACTGGCTGGTTGCACCTGCGGAGTGCGCATGCATGCATCGAGTCGACCCTACGACCATGAGAGATTCGAGTCTAGCATCGTTGTTTCCTTCGACCCCACCTAACGCTAGATCTGCATCTTGTTACATCCGTGATACAACGTCGGAATCTTTCGGACAAAAGGGTTCGCACGTGATCACTAAACCTTCAACGCCTGAGGACCGAAGACTGAAAGCGAATTGGGAGTTTGGTAGATACGTCGGATTATGATTCATCGTCGTAACCGTAAAAGAGCCTGCATCTAAAACTAAAACAAGAGGTGTTGCAAAGTTGGAAGGTTAACACTATATCCATGTCTTATGTAAGGAAGGATGGCTTTTCCTCAGGAATACAAAACAACCAAAATACAGCCTAATGACGTAAACAAATTGGAGTTCATATGGAATTCATGAGAGCTTACTTCCATCCTCAACTTCCACTAGTATATATGTGCATTTATACATCTATATAAATAAATACATACATATATACATATTTCTTTTGATGTATCAAACTGGACGTTAGGTTTGTGAACCGCAAAACGAAGAATCAGACTCTAATAGGCAAACAAAGCATGGCCTGTGTCGTAAAGGAACCCCCCTCCACAGAAAGAAAAAGAAAAAGAAAAAAAGCAAAGCAAAACAAAACAAAAACAGAAAAGGAAAAAGATAAAGAAAAAAAGTGAAGACATCTTCATGCAAAGCACTAGCCGTGGAAAAAAGTTGTGACTACTCGGAGCAAAAAATTTGAACTACGAATATTGAGTATTTCAATTCACTCAACTGCTAAATGACATGGATCTTTCTCCACGTCTTTGTGGAGTTGAAACTAAACTCAACAAGAATATAACATCAGCTGTCAATCCTGATTTGAGGCCAAAATCCACTGAAAAAACCTATCTCAAGATGTGGGCTTTACACATGTCACTCATACATCAATAGACTGCACATTAAGTTCTGACCTTTGCTAGTCTTCTGCCTCATAAATTTCGAAGGTTTCGTGGCTAAAACTTTCCCTTAGTGCTCCTGCCCTGCATATTCTTAGCCGACTTCACCACGCTGCCCATGCCGTTTGTTCCTGCATTCCTCTTCGCCTCTTGCCTGTTCAGAATCTTGGGATCCAGAGGTGAGTATGTGTAAAAAATCTAGCGAATCTAGCGTCCCCCAATTCCTAACATCACCCACTGCTTTGCTCTTCATGCTCACGTACCCATCTTCCATGTAAAACCACCTCTTGCTTACGTTGTTCACTTTCCTCGCTTTTCTTGGCCCGCTGCCTGATCTGTCTTTCGAGTCTTTGCCACCTCCACGTCCGGAGCTTCGTCCAGCTCGGATTGCAGCATATTCAGGGTGATCATCAGAAAATATGTCTGTGATTCCATTTCCTCTTCCCTGTGGTGCTATCCAGAGACCCTGGTGATGCAAGGAAAAGATTGAGCAGAAGAGGCAAGGAATTGAGGGAGTGTCTAGCAATGGCTTTTAAGTTTACGGCTGCAGCTTCGGGAGTGTACCAAGCTGGCTCGTTGTTCGGCAACGCTCAAGTCCTCTGAACCCTCAGTGATCTTGCCCCCAATGTTCACTTCCGTCGTGGTTTACTCTAGCCTTTCTATACTGAGCCACCAGAATCTTTAAACTGGAGCATACGAAGCCTCTCAACTCTGGCCCTTCGGTGAGCAGATCCCCATCTTTACGCAATAGGGCTACAGCTCGTGGCAGTGTCGGATGGATAGTTGCACACTGAAGGAAAAATAAGGTGAAAGTCACACTATGTGGTGCTTTAGTGTAGATAGAAGCCAAGGCCCACAATCTGTGAGTTTCTCCCTATCCATCTCCAATGGAGGTATTGCCAAAAACTTCAACGAATCCACGGCAGATACCATTGGTCTGAGTGCACTGTGCAGCTGCTTACAGCAAGCCGTATCCTCATCAGGTACACTTTGAAGATTGCCCAACGCTTTCACCGTGCTTGCCATCAAGATAGCGGAAGACTCTCCCAAATTACCAAAAAGTGCAGACACAACGTACAGGGACATGTCCCAAGCACTTCTGTGTTGGTATCCCAAATAACTCAGTACAGACGCACCTATCCTTTCAATCGGTGTCAAATCCCCATTCAGCTTCTGCCTCTCACAGTGCAACTAGCACTGGTTAACTCCTTGCTGGAGCATGGCTTCGTCAATACAACTCCAAATCAGGTTACGCATACTCTCAGCTGCACCAAACACTATCTCCTCTTCTTCGGAACCCAAGAGCCCGGTTCAAGAATGAAGCGCAGCCAGAAGCATTGTAATGCACAAGCTCCTGTCCGACTTCCAGAGCTTCTCAAAACCGTACTGCGATATCAGAGAAACCATGGTAATCTCGTCCACTGACCTACACTTCCCCCCGCTAGCAGGGAGAACCTCTGACCGATCTAAAATCTCATCTAATGCTCCGGATGGAATACCGACAGTGGAATTCATGCATAGAACTTGAAGCATGTAAAAAACACTTCGTGTAACTATGGGTTGACGGAGCTGGTAAAGTTGGGCCAAGTAAGGGAGAGTGCGGCAAATGGATTTGGCTGCGAAGAGCGGTAGCAATTGCTTTAAGGCACCAAGCATGTGTAAAACCTCCACATAGCCTTTGGAAGAGTTCGACAAGTTTTCACTCTTCGCAGACACGCATTTAGAGACGGAATCAAGGAATTACTCAAAGAGATTCAACACAATTTCACTTAGTGTTTCTAGGGGTAGATTACGTTGAGGGTTGGATTGCACCTCAATCATTCACAATTACACCCTCTTGTGAACCTTGAGGCGTTGATCAATGCAGAATTGGAAGAGGCAATTGAATGCGAAAGCAGCCATAATCCAATCGACGTATCAGCACCACAAATCACAACCTCCAAACCAGGTAACACGGCTTTTGCAATGCTGGCGCTCTAAGGGTTCGTCGTCAGTAATCTTACCAAAAGCTTCAGGGCTGCATCACTTTTCGACCTCAGCAGCGAGGCAGGCACTTCATGCAGTACCATAGCCAGAAACGCACACAATGCGGTGGTAATAACTTCGTTCCGAGTTGCTCCACTCGCAGCCTGGCGATTCAAACAACTTATGGAGGCAGCAAAATAGGCAGTCGAAGTGGGATCCAACGACTGTTCCTGCAATTCTCCCACCATAGCTTGCACGATCGCACACAAATGCTTGTGCTCTGGGCTTGGAGAGTTTCCAAACCGAGCCATGAGCATCGTGCACATTTCATCGTCTTCCCCATCACCTAATTCATTGTGCACTCCTCACCAATACATTGACCTAATGCCGAATAATTGGGTTATACCCCAATTCTCCTCACTCCTCCTCACTTTCAAGACCTCCCAACAAAACATTTCCTCTATCCATGAACCCAGCCCAGAATCCGAAAATTCTTCCCCAATCCCCCTTGCTCACTAAACCATCGGCCGCTGTCACTGTACCTTTAGCTTATTCTAAAAGATTAAAAAAAATCCTGAGGCTATTCGAATATTTCCAATCAACAAATTCTGATAATATTATCGATCAACTTCAAACAGGTGTCTGTAATATTACTAATGCATATTGAAAATAAACCTGGTGACCATAACTCGACGGAACAACATTTATTTAGATGGAGATATCGTGCGGCGACCCAGGTAAGGCTTACACTATATTTACACCTTTTGACATTGAGCTTTAAATCTCGGTCCCCTCCTCCGACCTAAGATAGCTGGCACATATAGGTGCTGGCACTGCAGTCGTTGTGTGATGTGTGCAGATGATGCAACAAAGCCAATCAGAAGGTGAGTAGAAAGGACACGGTAGTGAGCTTGCGAAGAAGGTGCATCGTGTTTGACGTCAGCTCGTGTTCGTTTGGTGCTCGATTTTATTTGCTCGCAGCCTCTATTTCACCATGCTTCCTGTCTCAGTCGTTGTTTTATCGTACCATCTCCTGTTCCTATTCCGTCTTCACTTGTATGTTCGTTTTCGGTAGGCTACTCACCATCATTGGTGGGTCTGTCCCATGACCTGCACAATGCGCCTGCCTTCTCTGTTTTCGGGTGCTTCTTGTCGCTAAGGACGTGCTTGCCTCGTCGCCCTCTTGGTAGTGCAGGAATTGGATCACTGGCGGATCGGGCGAGCGTGTGCTGATGTTGTAGTAGTGATGGTGTGGCGGGGATTGAGAGTATCGTTTTCAGGTGTGTAAGCACCAGCAATTCCCTCAGCAGAATTGGGGTATCCTCATTCTCGCCGACTTTGTCCTTCTCGATTTTATCGGCAACCTGGCCCCTGTAGAGTCCTTAACGCATGCGAGTGGGCGCAAGCTACAACCCAGCCACGAGATTCCCCGTCCGATGGCCCAGGTGCGTATTATTCTGCTCTGATTAACCACACATGTAGAATTATTTAATTGTTTACTTATTTTTGTAAAAAATCCATTTATCACTGTGGATGTTAGATCGGCCCCCGATGGCTTGAGACCCAATTCAGATCGCGATTTTGGTCAGAACTCTGCATTAGTGATGTCCCTTCTTGTTTCTCATACTTCCACCAGAGTTGCCTAGGGTGCAGCGTCAGGAGAATCTGGGTATGCTGAATCTTAGACATAGTTGAGAATTTGTACGTCTTAATCTACAAAATGATTTTGTGGATTGTTCTCGAGCAGATTTGAGTTATTTTCTTACTTCCGAGCTTGCCCTCCTCGTTAGTTGAACGAAGGATCGATCCACCTCATGTGGCTTGTCTATCATTTCTAGTAGCCTCAACCCTGGGACGTGCCTCAATCTCGTGGTTGACAGATTAAGGATGAGCATGTTACCACTGCTTTGGTAACTATCATGATTTTTAATACAGGACTACACTACTGAAATTTTCAAAATAAAATTCTATCTTTGTGAGTTGTGGCACTGTTTGCTAACCTGTGAAGTCTGTTGGAGACGGTTTTGAGGTAACCGAATCGCGGAGTCATTGCAATTTCTCTATGAATATAATTTTCAGGGTTGGTCATCCTTTTGTTTGAGCAACCTTTAGTTGACAGGCTTAGAGATACGGTATTCTAAGGGGGTGAGTTACGTAGTTGTAAGTTTTGGGGCACTGGCAAAGCATGTATGAAAATTTTGTGAAGCTTTGCTTCAATATTCAACATAAATTTCTTTGTACAAATCCTTTTAGCTAGTTCTTTGCACACATGCTTTTGAATTACACCAAACGATGCCTAATAAGCGTGGAAATCTTCGTTACAGGTGCCAGTAGACTCTGACGAAGTACCGGAACTGCCAGAAGAGCTCAACCCCTCTGCGTTACCGAAGCATGTTGCCATCATCATGGATGGCAATTCAAGATGGGCTGAGCGGAGGGGACTGCCTGCAAGCATGGGGCATGAAGCCGGGGTACGATCGCTCAAGGAAGTCGTCAAGCTGGCTCATACATGGGGCATCAAAGTTCTTACCGTCTTTGCTTTCTCCACCGAGAATTGGTTGAGACCAAAGGTGACATCCCCAGTCCCTTCGTGTTAGCAGTTTATTTCTGACATAGGGTTTGATCGTTCAGGGTTTACAGTTTCTATTGGCATTCACATGATTCTTTGAGTTGATTCTGTTGGGATTCTGCTACAGACGGAGGTCGACTTCTTGATGCTATTGTTCGAGAATGTTTTAAAGAACGAGCTGAGCATTCTAGCTAAGTAAGTGTTTCTGATGAACTGGAGACCAATTGAATTAGAAAACTTTGTGAACACTTGATGTCTTGTTGTAGTGTGCTTCGTTAAGCTGCTTTACCAGCTGGCTTGGGGTTTAACTAGGGGGACTCTTGCGGTGAAGCAGGGAGAACGTTCGCGTGCATTGCATGGGCGATTTGAGGTCGTTGCCCGAGTCCTTGAGGAACATGGTATCAACATTGGATGAACGCACAAAACATAATACCGGCCTCAAATTTTGCATAGCCCTGAGCTACAGTGGCAGGTATGATATTACCAACGCCTGCCAGAGGCTGGCGGCCAAAGTGGAGGCTGGGGAAATGAGCTCCTCAGACATAAACGAGGCTGTGATTGATGAAGAGATGAAGACGAGCTGGCTTGGTGAAGCGCGCAACCCAGATTTGTTGATACGTACGAGTGGGGAGCAGCGACTTAGTAATTTCCTACTTTGGCAGATAGCATATTCAGAGCTTTATTTTGTAGACTCTTTATGGCCAGACTTTGGGTTTGTTCAATTTAAAGAAGCCCTGCTGGCGTACCAGAACCGGAGTAGACGGTTCGGCAAGCGCAAGTGATCCAACTTTTGGACCTGATTGATCCATTGATTCATCACATTTTTCTCATCCTCCTTGCTATGTTTCCCTTCCTTCCAGTTCTTACTAGACGTTGCGTTTTCCTCTTTTATGGAATTCGCAGCAGGAGGACACAGAGTGGCTTCAATTCCAGTAGAAGTTGAAATCAGTCTTTTTTCTCTGGGATTTCTCCTTAAGTTCTATGCAGAAGCATCCACTTGATACCTATCAGGCACTGATTGCTGCAAAGGCGAATCCAAATATCTCGTTGGCTCCATAAATATTAAGGGAGTGAACTCCTTTGCGAAGATAATTGCCACTCGTTTTTGATTTTCATAAGCTGCTTTAGTGTGGTTTACTGTAACAAATTTCCAGATAAGTAACCATCTAATTCTATTGCATCAAAACGTGAGTATCTCAATGCAACGTATTTTGATGCATTACTTGCGTCACTACTTGGGTGACCCATCCAAAGTGGAAACAGTGCAAGATCACATCACATCCTATCATCTTTCCTCATGCAACGAGTAATGTAAGTATTTGTGTGTGCGCACATTAATATCCCCAATCTGGATAGGGACTGGGGAGGGAAGAATTGGGAAGAACCAGAAGACATGGCATTCCTTCTCATAGCAAGCGACTTGGAGATTTGTCTTGGTTACTGCCTTAAGATTTCATACTATATAAAGTAATGTCCAATTTCTAGTTCAGATTTTTTCTCAAAATAAGCCGATAAATTGAGTATTTAACTTGGGTGATTTTGCAAGAACTGCCAGTGCTGCCAGTTGCATAGGAAGGTATCTGTTAGATTTTTCAATCAGTACAGGTAGTTCTGAACTCCTCTGGGCACCTGAAACTTGCGAGGCATTTCGGTGCTTTTGCGAAGAGCCCACTAAACCCTAATCCTCTAAACTTCTGACTCGAAAATTAAAGTCTCTTTCCCCTGTGAAGGTAATAGCGCAACGGTGGAGTGTTGCGTTCTTCATTGTTGTGCGTAGTAATGTAACTGGATGTGTACCGGTATTCCAGGTGAATATCATTAGAATTCTATGAAGTTGGCGGATTGGAGGTTTGAGTTTGTTTCGTTCCAATTTGGCCTGCTCAGTATCTGCAGTGTAAGAGTTAGGGTTTAGTAGCATTGAGTTATTACTGTGAATTCGTTCTTACATATAATTCTAATCTTTTTCGCCGACTTCAAAGGATATTCCGAAGCACTTTGGTTGGCGAAGGATCGTGACACAGATTGTAACACAGATCTGTTCTTATTAAGAAGCTCATCTCTGCGTCTCACTACATGCTCGTTTCTGAGGAGAGCTCGTCCATAAGCATAGAAACTGCCAGTGATGTGGGAGCTCTGATAAGTTTCAAAATCAATTAGGCATTTTGCTTGGCTGTTTCTAAATCAACAGAGGGGCAAAAGTTCATAATTGTAGGATTAGGAGGGCAATTGTGTAGAATGAGAAGCGGCAACCAACTGAACCCTTTGTTGCGGACGCTTGGTCGGCTATGTTTGAATGGTGGCACATACTCTACGTCTCAGGAGGTTCTTTTAACGGCGTCCATTCAAGCTGAGGATTGTATTAGGAGAGATGTACACAGAACTCCATACCTGCAGTCTGAAATTAAACAGAATACCAACAGCGGATTTGGAATACGTGAATCAAAGTTTAGGGCTACCAATGTCTCGCATCTTGTTAACTCTGCATCATGTCTGGATTTTGTTCGAGGCAGCTCTGCTCTATTGTCGACTTCGACTAAGGGCAGTGCCTTAAGACCACCAGACGCTGAAGGTACTTGTTCGATCTTTTTCTGCAGTTTTGTTTTCCGCTATATGTGTAAAAATTTTTTTTTGTAGGGGAACAACTAAGCTTCATATATACATATAGATATAAATATATCTGTGTGTGTGTATATGTATGTGTTTGTGAGGGGGAGAGTGAACGCGAGAGAGAGAGTGCCATGTGCTTTCAAAAGGAGACTTCTTAACATTGAACTCAACTTCCAAAGAACTGCAGAGGATTCCATTTAGAAGAAAAGGAGGTGACAAATTCGCTCGATCAAGAACAAATTATGTGATAGCTGCTCTTGTGAAGTCGTTGGAGTCCTCTCAATCAAATGCTGAAGTGGTGGAGATACTGGAACAGAAAGCTGAGGAGGTCTTACGGCCCAATGGTTTGGCATGGCTGTCTCTCTTAGACGCACTTCAGAAAGGACCTAAACCTCATATTGCAATGGAGGTCAGACCCTCTTCCACAACCTCGTTTGTAGGGTTTTACTCTCAGTGACTTTCCTAGTATTATTGAGAAGTCCTCGTTCATAGAGAAGAAGAAAGGGACTTGCCTGAATTTCCTGTCCATTTTCAATATATATATATATATATATATATATATATATATATATATATGTGTGTGTGTGTGTGTGTGTGTGTGTATTTTAATCAGGTTGTGACAAGTGGTTTATTGACATCAATACTGAACAAGAGTTTTATTTTGTATAAGTGACAGGTTTTCAACTGGAAAAAAAGCAAGTTGAGATGGGAGGTAAATCCAAAGGAGTATGCGAAAATGATTTCGTTTGCAGGCAGGATCAATCAACCTCAACTAGCGGCGGACTTGTTTGATGAGATGGAGAAACGAGGCATAAAGAAGACAGCGGTTAGCTATAATGCACTCATTCACTCCTACGGTCGCAACAACGAACCACAGAAGGCACTTCAGCTGTTCGAGTATATGAAAGTCACTGTCGATTGCCAGCCTACTCTAGTGACCTACAATACATTAATTTCAATGTACAGTCGAATGGGTGCAACGGAAGAGATGAAGAAAATATTTTTGGATTGTACGGAAGCGGAGTTTGTTCCTGACAGACACACTTACAATGCCCTTATCTGGGGTTACATGCGAGCTGGACAACTGAATGAGATGGAAGTAACTTTCAATGAGTTGCAGGCTAAAAAATTTAACGCTGACGTGATCACTTATAATGCTCTGATTATTGGTTATGCTCGAGCAAATGCAGTTGACAAAATGGAGGTCGTGTTGTCAAGCATGCAGGCAGTTGGAATTCCAATTAATACCATGGTTGGTGAGATACTCATTGAAGTCTATAGTCGCATGAAGAACTTTGATAAGATGGAGGGCGCATTGAAGATCATAGCTGATACCCCAGGTAACTCCTACCTTCCTATTATTGCGTATTGGTTATTTTCACTGTAAATTAGTTTTTTCTTTGCTAGAGCTCTTTAGTTGCTTGTTCAGTTTGTTTTGATACATTCTTGTTCAGTGTTGGTTATATTCTACTTGAAAAGATTGAAAGCACTAGATTTAATAGCTCTATATTAGTCATTTGCATAACTCATGACTGTTTGTTGACAACTTTGTGGCTGTGATAATAATCCAGGTATTCAATTTGGTTCCCGGGTACACAGCATGGTAATCGAGAGTTATGCAGATGCTGGCAAGCTGGATGAAGCGGAAGCTGCAATCAAGCGCATGTTTCAGAGCAAGCGAGTGCTTGCTTCTTCCAAGGCATTACATGCTTTAATTATGGCTTACTCCAGAGCAGGCACATACGACCGCCTTGCAAAGACCATGGAAGTAGTGAAGGACGCAGGCTGGATGCTCCAGCCAGCTACGTACAACATCCTTATTTCAGAGTATGGAAAGGTGGGTTACCTCGATAAGATGGAGCAAGCATTTCGTGAAATGATGAATGCGTCTGTTAAGCCTTCCTTCGAAACTTTCCAATATATGATAAATGCTTATGAGGCAGCCGATAATGAGACCCAAGTGGACAGGATCCTCGATCTTATGCGCAAGGCAGGCTGTGAACCTAAGTCTAATGCTGTGTGGACTGATGACAAAGTCTTCAGTGAGAAAGTCCGGTGGTAGTATGTTGTAGATTTGCACCTCTTGCTGCTAGACCAGTGAAGCTAGTCAGTGCCGCCTTCAAGGTGCGTTGGTCAGATACTAAAATCTTCTGTATTTAACTGAAGCTGATGCAGATTCAACTTGTCTATACACATCATTCACAATACTGACAAGCTCAATTCCACAAATATGGTTTATAGCTCACTATGTACAAATATTGTTTGTTCATCTTTTCCAATGTATTTCTACAACATTTAATTTAAAAACTTATTTGTTGAGCTTTCAGGAATCAAATCCTAACTAGACAAATTCAATGTTATAATAGTGAAATCCTAAGCTTTCGTTCTCTGATTGCATATCATTCATTCATTGTGGCAGGAGTGAAAGTCAGAACTTAACCGGTCTGATATGCATTCTGTTGTACCTCATTCCACAATGATCTGAGACAAGCTCTCCATAATAAGATTTCCTGTTTTGGTTGACTCTATTTGTTTCAGAAAAAATCCATAACTACATGTTCCAAGTCTTCATCAATTTGCCAGATTATGAATGGTTTCAACTAACCATTATTAATTTCAAATAGTAGAATATTGCAATTTAGGTACACCCATCAAATGCCTTACAAATAATTGCAGTTATAAAATGAAAAAGAAAAGAAAAAACAGCTGTTGTAATTGTTGGTTTATGGATATTCGTGAATGGGCAAGTGTTAAGTGGCACCTATCCACAAATTTGAAGTGAACTTGTAACGGAGGAGAGTATACCATAACAATGTACTTTAATTGGACAAATGCTACATATTTAAAAAATAATAAATAAATAAATAAATAAATAAAAAATGAATGAATTCTTCTACTATGACTTATTTTAAATAAAAGTAGTGCAAAACGACAATCCATGTTTTTAACTCAAGAAACAAAGCTTGAATGTTATCTCAAACAAATAATCAAAAAACAATTTCCAATCAACATTTTAAAAGCATTTCTGAAAAAATAGAGATATGCATCTTTGCAAAGCAACATTTTTGCACAACCATGTCATTTTAGTTGAAAAATTCAGTCCTGAATAATTTTTAACCTGTTACCATTGTGCATGGGAATATACATACATATATACATATATAATATTATTTCCCACTAGAGGCTGTGAATCGCCATCAGAAGTGTCGCCTTGAGTTTCAGAGCTTTAGTGACCATTTGGTGACCGAATTAGGGTTTAGCTTTTCGGGCTTCGCAGACACGAAGACGATGCACAAATTTCCAACAAGTATCGCAGTGGTTTTGCAGAACCTCCGCGACTATTAAGGTTGTTGACGCTTCGAGAGAGAGAGAGAGAGAGAGAGAGTGTGTGTGAGTGTGTGTGTTGTTGTTGGTTTCCCGGAGGTGGATGTGTTGATTTGTTGATTTCAAGCCACCATGTTGCGGCGAAAACCGACGAGGCTGGAGCTCAAGCCAGAGGACAAGGAAGAGTATGACGAAGCCAAGCGGAGAGCTGCTGCAGCGGCTCGCGCCTCATCCACCGCAGGACCCGCTGCGTCCGCGCTTCTGGATCACCATCCCAGGGCCCCTGTCAACCAGCGCATTGGTCTCTACAAGTAGAAACCTCTGTGGAAGCAGGATTGAACCAGGCTCTTCAGAGTAGGTTCTTAATTCCACCAGTTTCTACGTTTTTTGGTCGTGTCTGGACATTGTATGCTCTGTTATCATTGTAATAAAGATATGCAACGGTTTTGAAGTTCGTTCTCGAATGGTATTCGTGTACAGTTTGTTTTTGTTTGTTTTTGTTTTGTTTTTTTGTTTTGTTTGTTTTATCGCTTCATTAGTCGCTCTTGATATTGTAGAGCAAGAGCTTGGTTAATGTTCGAATTCCTAGAGTCTCATTTGCCATGGACATGCGGTCGGGAGCGATTGATTTTTATAGGGATGGTGTCGGAAATCGGGTTGAACATGCGCAGAGAGTAGATAGAGTTTGCTTGAAGGGATCCACAGGATCAGCCAATCGAGATGTAATTTCTCCTCGTAGCACAACATCGAGATTCTAATGTCTTTAGCCTCGTTGCGGCTTTGCATCACGTCATAGCGTGTATCCGCCTATGGTGCGAATTCGGTCTGTAATTCCTCGTTTTTCGTTTGTTGCAAACCTCCGTGCCTGTCGTAATGAAGTGCTCAAAAGGCTCCTGTGAAATTCGAGGCTTGATTTTCTCCCTCAAGCTTGATGGCGTACTTACTACTTTCCTCCGTTCTCTGGGCATCTGGTTTACCACACCATTGTTGAAGATGTGAAGAATCCCGTACGATCAAGGTTACTCATCCCATCTGTGTTCGCTTCAAAGAGCGAAAGTGGTCACCAAGAAACGCCATGGGGCAGCTCTCGCGTTAAAGACTTTGGTAGGTACGTTACCTTATTCGAACTGAGCTGTTTGGCTCTCTATATGTTTCTTTATCATTATACGCATTGTATAGAGATCGTCGGCCTGTGCCTGGAAGCCAATGACCATAGCCGTCGACCTGTGTGGGGACCAAGTTAGCGGCTTCACGCTCCCTACCATTTGCGGACTGTGTGCTGATTCTCAAGGGAATCAACAGCATCATTTCGATTACAGGTTTAAGCATTCGGCGATCTACATCTGATGAGACATGTCAAGCTGTGGCATCTTTTGCCAAACACCGCTAAGCTCCCTAGGTTCAGTACCTTAATGCCTACTGTTCTCGACATTGTCCAACTTCCAGTATATAGTTGCGGCTTGGAGCAAAGATTCTAACCGTCAAGATATTTCATTTATCACCAACGAATTACTCAATTCAATGGAGTCTATTGAATTTGTGGTAGGGGCCATCTATTAGTTTTCGACTTCGACTGATTCCGTTTTCGAGTAGCAACAGGGACGTACGTAGAGAATTTGTTTGTTCTCCTCGATTTAATTAAGAAAGCTAGTGATTCAAGAAACCGATCTTGATTTACAAAAATCCAACCTAAGAAACCATTATGAGTGATGTTGCGCACTTAGTAGATTGAAAATTCTGTCACGAATTATGTATTTGATATAATCTGCTGCGGTCGTGTTGGAGTTGTTAGTTATGGAGGTCATATTAGGTGCTGTTCCATCTAGGTTCATTAGATCCTTGTGCATTGGTTTTCTTTACGGGGAATTTCTGGAGTTACAAGGGATAGCGACATCCACAGTTACAACATGGGAGAGCTGTTTGCGAATGGAATCGGGAGACATAGCCACAAACTTACGGTACTCAAAGGAATGCTGGCAGGAAATGAATTTGCATGGATCATGTGTGGAAGCTTCTTGCGTATATGAATTGATACAAACCTACCATACTCAATGAAATGCTGCTGGGAGTGAATGTGGGAGCTTCTTGGGTGTATTTGGAAAACAGTATTCGCCATCACCCTTGGAAACAGCTCTTCAGGTAGAGTAAGTGTAAATTCACTGGTTGCCATTATTAGTGATTCATCTGAATTATGAGACTACTGTTTGATTATCAAATCCCTTAATAGGATTACTTTTGGTCTGTTAATCGTAAAAACGAATTCATTGGTTCTGCCATAACTATCAGACATGTTGGGTGGTGGATATTACTTCAGCTTGTATATCAATTGTTTGTGACCAAAGTGGGACATATGGAGGAGGAAGTTAAACTGGTGATGCAAAAGGTCCAGGAAATGCCCTTGATAGAGATCCAACTACATCTTGCTTCAATAGAATCAACGCTCCCAATTATGGCAATTCTTTCTTTCTTGAGGTTAGCGCATCAACATTCCCAGTGGCTCAATTTCGCATTTCTTTGACGACAAGCCAGCCAATCGTGTAGTGCAAATTGAACCACTGTGTGCTCTTCTTGTGTCATGCACTGAATCTTCTGTGATTGGATTTCGTGCACTGGTAGTCCTGGACAGACGCAGGTCTTAGCAGAGTGGATTCCAAGCAAGCCTTTCAGTCTTTCGTTGACTTTTGCACAGATCCTTCCAAGTTTACAGTGAAATTGATTGGAGCCATCAACATTGTAGAGGCTTTACCACTATTTAAGTAGTATCAGATGCCATATTTCTCGCTATCTATTTCTTTTTATCATGGTCAAAATTCTAGAAAGTGAACGAAGATTCGTTTAGCTTTGTGAGGTAAGTTCAAAATTTTAGTAGGATTTAGACCAAAACAATATGTGTGAATTATACCTAGGTATGAAATTCATAATCTTCTTTACTTCTGATAGAGCATCTTATACTGTTATTTGAACTCTAGAAGGGCGTAATTCCTGATCCAGAGAAGTCAGAGATGCATTACAAGCGTGGAAGTTTGACACCCTTTCCTGTGAACCCTGCTTCAGGAATTATGAGGTGTGGCTCCTTCCCCAAACATATGTATAGATACTACATAATGCATACTGCAGATGAGTATTGGATCTAAAGAAATCCATAAGTTGCGCATATTGACTAGAGTAATCGGAACAGTGAAGTTCGTTTTATTTCAAACCCGTTTTGCAAAGCTGGTCACAAAAAGACATGCATATTCTCTTAACAAGCTGATGTCATGCAAGAATTTGTATGTAAAAGCAGGCAGCTGGAATAAATGAATGACCATATTGTACAAACAACCGATGCATTTAACAACCCCTCTTAATTTGGGCACAAATAGTATGATGCACTTAAAAATTCATGAAAGACGCACGAACCAGGTATTGGAACCAGTGAAAGCCACCTATGAGCCTCCTTGGCAAGGTTTTGGCGTATACTTAGATCCAGGTGCCCTCTGGTTGAGAACAAAGTGTGACCACAGGGTGACTACATTGTAGTGCCCCAACAAAGACGAGCCAGTGGGTTAAATTTCTAATTACTTACGTGTACCAAGTTTTTTAATTGCATTTCTTAACGAACGCATCGATAATGTGCGAAATTAGCACTAAACACAGCAATTTTACTGCAGAGCTCTCGCCATAAAAAGGAACACAGCCCAAAAGGACGGGTTCTACTGCAGATACCACTTCAGGAAAAAGTGGTAAATCTCTGTACTTGAAGGAGAAGGCTGCTGCAACATTCGCTAACCTATTTAAGTGCAGTAAGATCCACCCAAGGAAATGGACATGGATATGAATATGATCTGACCTATGCTTGTCTATCAGCCAAACAGGAATATTTTCCACAAGCCCTCATGTACACCTTAGCATCACCCTCATGTACACCTTGTGGCAGGATGATGAGAACGTAATCACTCCCGGCGCCTGTCCTTGTTCAACTGTATGTATCTAACCAAACTAGAGCCTACAAAAGAATTGATGCATTCAACATCCTTATTAAAAGACACGCAATGACTGGGAGGCAACAAATATCTCAGTTCTCCACCCTGTGGTCACATTCTTCGTCCGCCACCCAGGCTCACAAAGAAGTCTTCGTTTGTGCATGTACACAGTTTCAGGGCTGTTTAAAAAGCACTCATAGAGGGCATGCCGTACCCTGACATACCGGGCATTCCTGGCATTCCTGGCATACCCGACATACCCGGCATTGGCATACCTCCGCCCATACCAGGCATACCAGTCATACCAGCAACAGGAGGAGCTGGTAGAGCCAGAGGCAAGAGTTGAGCGTACATGTTCTGCAGGAAAATATGTCACACTTGTCAGCGTTGAGAGAACGACACCATGTGTACACCCAAACCCGCACGTCACCTAATCCACATCAGGATGGCGAGGGAAAATAATCAATACATACAAACGGAAAAGCAAACTAGCCAAAGATCTTACCGATTCAGCAACTACGTCCTTTTCCTGTTGCTCTTTGGACTTCTTCTCCTCAGTAGCTTCCAATTTGTCTTTAATCAAATCATCCACCTTCGTGGAGTACTCACGCAAGAACTGCAGGACCAGATTTTAAATTATATTTGAGGATATAATTATACAGCATAATAGTCCCAAGCAAAACAAGCCTTCCACATTACCAAATAAGCAGGTAACACTTAACCATATTAATGGCTACACTGCGAGGGTCGGAACCCAAGAGAGCTACGCACCTGCAGCAAGTAAGGTACGGCGAAGTCCATCATGCCATGCATCCATGCCAGCTCCACCGCAACATCAGCACGGATAAGGTCGTAACAAGTGTATAGACAAGCAGCGAAGCACTCTTTTTTGCCCTGTACATCACAAATTACAACGCAGAAAAAAATTATAAAATTTTCTTAGGGTGTCATAGACATCAGTAGTGTAGATGTTTCTTTCAACTTCAATTGCCCGCAGACACAAATAGAGAATTCTTACCTTGTCCACGAAGAATGTAAGCAGCTCCTCAGCAAGCTCACGATCTCCAGACTGTGAGCAAGTCTCCATTGCATCCTTGTATAAGTTGTCTTTCTTGGACAAAGCCACAGATTGTTTCCATCTGCCAGCTCTCTTATAGATGTACGCACCAACGCGACGCATTTCCAGAAGTTCGTGCTTCTCAATCTGTAAAAAAATATAACATGTCAAATTTACCTGGGAAATACATAAAAGTCACAACTTTGACACTTTCCATGTTGTGAACTAATAAAAACACATATGGATGATATTGATAGTATTAAACTGATTAGCAATGACTACGGAACTTACCCTCTGTGCCATTGAAATCTGATCAAAGTTATCATACATATCAATAGACTCTCTGAGCCGCTCATAATCTTCCTCCTCAATATATAAGTTGTTCAGAGCCTCATTGACTGCAGCGTTGTTGGCACTTTGGACGGCAACCATGTATGGCTTCACCAACGGTAGGTATCCAGCCTGCAAACGTTCAACCAGCAACAAAAATCACAGTGATTACATGCATAGACAACAAATACACAAAAGCACTCGAAGCATTCCTTTAACACAGGATAGATAACTGTTACAACTCAAACAACTCCACAAAACGAAACTAAATGCGTGACGAATGAATACCTTTTTCATGATATCCACAACTCGTGTGTGGTCAACCCGTGCAGATAACACATTGAGTAAGTCATTGATAAGCTCGGGATACTCCTCGAGATAAAAGTACACTGCTTTGTAGTAAAGTTCCACGTTTGCAACCTTAACAGCAACATCCTTAAACTGCATGTGTTCCCAGGCCTCTGGAGAATGGCTCATCATGGTAGCCGCAGCATTATCATACTCGTCATATGCAATGTACAAGTACGTAAGTTCCTTCCAGTGCTGCTGCTCGTCGCATACACGAATAAGCTTTGGAATATTAATCCGGGTGATAAACAGCTTAAGATGCTCCATAAGCTTATCCGGACGGTATCTGGCGTACAGAGTGCCCAGTTCTGTAAAGATACCCATGTGAGCGCGCTCCAAACCAAGCCCACTTTCCATAAGTGAGATGAGCTCATCAAAGCGACCTCTATTCTGGTAATATTCACTGACCTCTTCCAAATCGTCCACCTGCAAAAATTCAGCATGATCATGTTATATAATTGTTTTCTAGCCTTCCAGAAAACAAAATCAATGCATACTCTACTTGGACCAGAGAATCCAATACTCCAACTCACCATTGATATGTAACACCTACAGCTTCAGTACGATTAGAACATATGATAGTAATGAAAAGCATGGTTGCGTAGTAAAATCATGAGGCTAATTGCAAAATGTAACAGCAGAAACCTATCCATACCTGGACAATAACATTGAGACCACAAATTTGAGCCAGGCGGAACTCTTCGGCGTCCACACAAGCAAAGCAGACTTCCTTCCATGTCCGTGCGCTATTGGCCTTCCTCGCTGCATCCACGGCTGCTTGGAACTGATGAAGCTTGACAAGAGTACTGGCAAGTCTTGCCCAGTTGGAGATGTGCGTGAAAATAATTTTGGCAGCTTCATACAATTCTCCATCAAACAGGCGATCTCCAACAGTTTGCAGATTTGCAAGGTTGGGATTGACGATAAATTCCTCAATGTCGTCCAACCGATTAAGCTTGGCATAGGCAAAAATTAATTCAGAGTCCACCTTAGCTTCCTTCACCTTCTTGCGTACCATGTTCAAGTATCTCACTAGGTCCTCGTATGCTCTTACACCAGATGCCACATCGATAACTTCATTATATTGAGAAGCATCATTTGCCTTGATGAAAGACTCAATGGCATCGCTAACCAGTCCCTCTCTTAACTGTGCCTTACCAACCTGGCTCCAAACATCATCCTCTTCGACACGGGCTGCAAACTCCACAGCACGGTCTATGTTGCGAATGTTGTCCAGAAGAACATTCACTGCCTGGACATTGAGGTTGAACTTCTTGAAAATTGCAAATGCCTCTTCATAAAGTTCAGCACCTACTGCAATCTCACCCACTGCAGGACCATCGAAATTATCCAAACGATTGATGTAGTCCATGACCCGAGTTGTGTCGGCCTTGATTGCTGTGAGGATGAGAAGGTTCTGAAGGTTGGGGTTGCCACTGAAAGCCGAATTCTGGAGCACAATCTTCTCCAAGAGCTCGATCAGCTCATGTGGCAAATCTGCAGTCATGAAGGCCTTAACAGTGGCTGACACCTGCTCTGGATTTTTGCTCTCTGGAAGAGCAGTAGACACCACCTGATCAATGAGTTGCCTCCTACAGGGGTTCTCCGGATTCAGAACCTTCAACCACAAGTCAGGCTCCATCCGCTCGACCACATACCTAAGAAGCATTGCAGCACCAGAGGAAACAGTAAATCAGCAGGCATTTGATTACATGATTTAAAAGTAAGATTCTTAACCCATCATCCGCGGCACATCTCCACCGAACACTGACAATAAGATAATAATACAAATACTTCACATAATGTGTTTCAACCTTGCAACGTGGAACTTATCAAAGAGCACACATTATCAGTAGAATCATTTTCACCTGGCCTGGAGTTTGAAGAGAGAATTCTTGTTGGTGACATTGACAAGCTCATCATCACAATTGCCACGTTTGTATGCTACCACAGCAAGAGTTGGGTCGCGCTTCTCGCAGTACTTGCCGACAACCTTGGAGTCGTAGTAAGGGTTTGTAGTGAGGAAATGTTCAGGATTGTTGTTTGTATCAATAATGATTTTCCCCAAAGCATTGTGGACATGCACATCTTGACTACCTTCGCTCACAAGGTGCTCCAAGAACTGAGTCAACAACCTCAATCGGTTCCTCTTTTCACACTCGTCAACCAATGGCTCCACCGGAAGGAGGGAGCGTACAGATAGGATCAAACCCTTAATGAAGTCCTCAGGACAATCATCATCCAGTAATTGCCCGACCACTAATGGTGCATTTTGAGGGTTAACCTTCTGTACATAACCTTCAATGTAACGAAGCATGTTGTTGACATAAAGGTAGTGAGTGAGATCTGGGACAAAACCATGACGGTCGCAAACATTGATGAGAGGCCTTGCATCTGGGAGTTTGGATTCCATCAAGAAATTCTTGGTTCTCTCTGGAGGGTAGAAATTGGACTCCCTTGTAACACGCTCGACTTCTTTAATTTGGCCAGTCTTTGCCGCAGCCTCGATGTACTTGTAGTGAATTTCAGGTTCCTCGCTTGTGCTCAAGTATGCTCCGAGGAAAAAGTACAATCCCTCAAAAGACTTGAAACTCTCAAACAACTTCACACACGCATCGACACCCAGCTGCTCCCCGTATTCCTTGGCTACCTGGACTATAATTTGCAGGTTTCCACGCATATTCACTTGGAGTAACTCTTTCATGCAATCTAAGGCCCATTCTTTTGACAGAGTGCCAAAAAATTCAACTAGACCCTGTGGCTCTATGGCATGGGTGTTGATAACAACGCGCTTGATATCATTTAATTCCGTGTAATGCTGAAGGGCTCGCATGTACAGACCAGCTTTCTCGCAAAGTTGAGCAACACGAGGACGGTCATAATGGCTAAACATTCCATTTGCCAGTATTGCATCAGCGACATTAGGAAACGTGACCAAATTAATTTCCAGAACCTTGGTCTGGAGCAAGGCGTGCTCTGGAAGATTTGGCTTCAAAACGTCCAAGAGGAAAGCGGTGGCCTCCCTAATCATGTTGCGCTGAAGAAATAAGTCGGTGACGGTGTTATAGTCAACGGGGCAACCACCTTCTAGTTGAGACATCATAAGAGCAAAGTTCACGGCACCTTGAGGGTCAGCTCGCAAAATAGTTTGCAGTAGGAAAAGATAATCCGGAGTATATCCGACCTGCTTGGAGTAGATCAGAATCTTGTCGAATTCACGACGTTCAGCAAAAGCTGCAACAACCTTTGGTGTGGCCCTGGCCTTGATGTATATCTTGAGTGCCATGTCATTGTCCACAGTCTTGACAAGATCTCCTAACTCTTCACTACATTCCAGCTTGTCTTCTGCCAACCAGTTCTCCAGTAGATTCTTCTTGTTTTGGTTAACCACTAGCCGCGAAAGCTCAAGGGATTCAAATACGTTCAACTTCCCCTTCGTCAATAAAGTCCCAAAGTACTGCAATAATGGTGAAGTTTGTCCTGGCTGTACCGGAACACTCTGAAACTTGGCAACAGTATCTGGAGTTCGAAGGATGCCTTGAGGCGACTCCGCTGCAAGGTCTGCTGCTTCCTTATACTTCATCTGAGAGAATAACTCTTGAAAACGTTGTACAACCTGGTTTCAAGGTAACCGTTACCATCGAATAAGTTCAGTGTGCCAAATCAGACTTTCCTAATAGTCTTTTCCTCTAACTCAATCATTATACGTTTGGTTAAAGAGCTGACCAGACATGATAGAATTTTTTTTTAAATGAAAATAATAATAACCAGGTCCAAAAGAAGACATCCAGCATGAGCTACACCATGTTCATGCTAAACTGTATGTATCATCTGCGCAATATATCATAACATTTGCCTACATAAATATGGCGCTGATCTACGAGTAATAGTGAGTATACCAGTCCCTCTGCTCCAGGCAGGTTTCCTCGTCTTGCAAGATTCACTGCCAGCTCCAAGTTGCTCAACTGAGAAAAAAAAAGTATTGCCAAACAAAATTAGAGAATGTAACTTTCGAAAATTCATTCCGCGAATAGACAGATAAAGCCGAACTGAAGTCGGAAACTACTACCATACAAATAGAAACATTCAAGTTCAGGTTGAGGAATGAAAGCTGACAATAGTGACCTCTCTGACATCACATTACATACCTGGTTACTAACAAATGGGATAATTGTAGCCTCATTGACTGTAGCAAGGAGGACTTGGCCTCGACGATTGACGGCATAAAAACCACCAACTGTAGGAGCATCCGCTGTCAAGAAAATAGGATCTGGACTAATTCGGTTTCTATACACAGCAGTTGCAGTTTCCAGATCATAGACAAAAAGAAGACCAAGTTTTGTAATCACATAAATGAGGCCATATTTAGATGAGATCTGAGCATCAAAGAAAACATAATTGGATTAGAAGCATCGAACATGTCAGAATCTTCATCACATTTAGTTGAAAACAAAATCACATCAGTTTAGACAGTCCATCAAAGAAGGAAAGCGTTCTCCATCAAGAACAACACACTGAAAATCAAAGTATAAGAATTCCTAATTAGGCTATCGAGGTTCAACGAAACAAGAACAAGTGATATTACACATGACCAGAGAGCAGCTTGCTTTTTCACCGCAAGAAATATAAGGATGATTAAGAGTAAAAGTGGAGATGGACCTGCATTGAAACTGGAAAGTCGTCGGCAAAATCTGGAGGAAAAAACAGATCCGCTGCCTTCTTTGAGAAACCAGGTTTACCTGCGAACAAGGAAGCAATAAACTGCAACTATGAACACCATAAATATGTAAGAACTTATCACCAAAGGAGGAGAAATAGAAAACCCACAAGTTGCTATTATTTATGAAAATACCAGCCATGGTACCAGGTGCACGGTAGATTAATGTAAAGGGACACCAGTTCAGGACAAACCAACCTGGTGTAGCACCCAGCTCAATAATATGCAGCTTGGATGTGAGCTGCCCAGCTGTAAGAGTTTTTGTAGTGAATGCAATCAGTAGAGATGGAGAATCGTTTCCGGCCACCTGATTTCATCACAAACTCACAAGGATGAGATTTAAGTAAAAATATAAAGCTGGCTAACCCCCTAGCTCAACCTAGTACACCTTTAATTCCATTTGAGCTCTGAAAAAAAGCCAGCCGATCCCTGAAAACTACAGAACTCATGAAACAACTCGCAACATTCATTGCCGCACATTTAGAAAAAATTAATCACTAACTAGTGCATCATCAGTACTTCGCAGGTTGCAAGTAGAGCTAGCTCAATTATTCAGCAAATAAAAAACCACCTGATGAGAAGCAAATGATGCAGCATGAGCTTCTAGTGCTTGACTCCTCTGCTGGTCGACTGAAAACAACTGCATATTTCCCTTCACTAATTGGGGCCGCTGATATCCAAAGATGAAAGGAGTGTCAATACAGCATAAAGCACGAAAAAAAAAGCAAAAGAAAAGGTTATAAAAGCATTTTGATGATAACAGGGATGAATAACAAGAAAGAGGGCCTATAATAACAAGTATAACGGACGGAAAAATTCACAATGATCGTCATCATTTTTTTTCTTTTGAAAAATAGCACTCATTTTCTCTATCACTAAGACGAGAGAGAGCAGAACAACGCAGTTCACCTCCGGTGCTCCAGGGGCGATACCAATCAATACAAGCCATTTCTCAGCGGGGTCGCATCTGTAGTTAATGATCTGGTTGCCACTCAGGTTTGCTGTCCTCTCAAACATCTTTACAGGTTCAGATTCACCTATTACAGACCCAAAGAGAGAAAGCATTAATGTGTGAATGCAAGAACTGATAGAAAACTCGCCAATCCAACAGAAGCTATCTCATACATCGGACAGTCAGAAACAAAAGGGTTCGTACCTTCTATAGTCCAATGATACACTGAAGTTTGTGTCACGAGTCCAAGTAATCTTGGCGAAATCCACTTCCAGAAAACCACCTGATAACAAGGAACGATATTAAATAAGAGGACTTGGAATAAGAGGAAAACTGACCTCATGTGATTCAACTTCATGAGTTTTTTCTAACCCCTTATGGCTTGCAGCATAGAGATCGGCAGCAGAGGTGATTGAAACACAGGACGGTTTACTCACCTGCTCTGGCATTTGATACGATTTCATCTTAGCTTTTAATTCGATGTTAAAGATTTGGAGATGGTCTTGTGTCGAACCAGGTATCAAGGCTGGTTCACATAAACAAGACACAAACATTAGTACTAAGATTTCGTGATTCAACATCATCCAAAGCCAGAATCATATACAAAGGCTGAACTAGAATATATTGGTCGTACCCTGTCGTCCAAGCAAGAATTTAAAATTAGGCGGAGAGGTCCAACTATCGCTCAGAAAATTCGGACATAAATGAAAGTTTCTACAATATCATTGCAAAGGCGATCCATGAAGATGCGATCGGTCTCCCCTTGTTTCATATTCACTCTAAACCAGGATCTCACATACACCCGGAAAGTCCATCTGCACTGCATATGCTGTGCCAATGTGATTCCAAGTTTAAGTTCGCTCAGGTACTCAAATATACTCTCTGAAATGTTTGAAAGTTTGGAACCAAGCAGCGCCTCGCAACATGACGGATCGCCAATTACATTCTGAAGGTATCATAGACGAAAACTGATGTGCTTATATTGGTCGTGCGAATAAAAAGTAAAAATAGATGCTACCATCTCCCATCACATCAACGCGTCACGGTTCCAAACTCAGTTGATTTGTACGTGATTGCGCTCCTGGACCACTCTGTCACTATACTCTGATAAATCTACAAAACCTTTTCAGCAACAAGATCGGTTGTGAGGGGAATCACAAGCACAAGCGCTTCAAGAACTAAAAAACTGTTCGAGTTGTGGTTGAAATACACCTTCAACAGACTTTTCACTCCAGCGTAACATCGATTACCATACTAGATAATGACAATCAAACTACAAAAAACTTTGCCTTGCTGTGTCCAGCTAATGTGATCTTTTACTGCTTCGTCCAACCTAGTTATAAAAACCCCACTGCAGGTCAGAAACGCCCTCTCATGACAATTTGAGAATCACAGCATAAACATCAGGACATGTTCTACAGATGTAATCAAACGTTAGATCGCGAGGCGTAAATCCACGCACTTCTCATACACCAGTTTATATGCAATTCTGTCCAGACAGAACGAAACCTATCCACATTTTCGGTCACTTTCGGAGGGAACTTGGTGCTTGTCGACAAGTTTGGACTTACAGACTACACACCCTGAATAAATCAGATCGCCTCGGTCAACCCTCAAATGTCAGACGCGCCTCAAAGTATACCTTTCAGAGCCAGGACTCTGCTGTTCGGATTCATCAAGGCAGAGTCCGCAGTGATCGGGCGACGCAGAGGCTGGTTAGGCATCGACATATCAATAATCACCACACTGTTTTGAGGCGACGTCTCCCGTACGCAAATGTATTTATCAGACTCCATCGTCACATGTGTGAACGTAACGAATTGCTGGTTAATCCCAAGACTCGTCAGCTGCATTGCACCACCCCGTTATCCCAAACCATCAGCACCTCAACCACCGCCATTTTCCCAACCCTTACGTTTTCACTCCCTCCTCCCCCTGCCTCTCGCTACACGAAACCCTCCCTCCAGCAACAAAGCAAAACCAAAACCGAAAAAAACAATAAATAATAAAAATAATAAAAATAATAATTCTAAAAACTCTAAAAACCGCAGGGCAATGGCAATCCACAGATCCTAAACCACAAACACATGAACCAAAACCCTAGACACACGAGACGAAACACATTTACACGACTCAAAGCTAAACAAAACACCAGATCTGTCGACAAGTAGCTCGCGGCCACTGACCGTGAGAGCCTCCTTCATAGTGATGGGCGCGCTAGCGGCCGCCATGGCGACGGGCTTGGTAGAAGGAGGCCGAGCCTCCTCAGACGTGCGGGCGGGCGAGAGCGAGCAAACCCTGGGACCTTCTCGTGGATCTGCAACAGCCGCAGCAACTTAAGCGAGCGACGAGAAGTCGGGGGAGAGCAAGCACAGCTCTCAACTCATCACAGAAGAGGAGAGAGGGAGGGAGGGAAGCAACACGGAAGTAGAAGATGGAAGAGGCGAGTCTCGCTTGAAAGATGGGACTTCAAGTCAAGTCTAATAATTAAATTGAAGACCCCGGCGGGGTGTGGAGCGAGTCTTCGGGAAGTCTTCGAAGTCTGGCATACTCCTTTTCCCAATTCAGATTCATTTTCAAATCCACTTCAAATTGGGGCTTGTTAGTCAACCGAGGCCCTATCCCAATGATCCTGGGCTTTATTTCAAGAGTTCGCTAATTTTCTAATAAATGAACACTATGCGTCCACAATTTTTGGAAAAATTTGAGGTCAACTATTAAATTTCACCCCTCCAAACTATCCATATTACAATTAAATGTGGCTCAAATCTATTGTCTGTGAAATTATTTATTGATTTTCTTTTAACCCTTTCACATATCAAATATGAGTTCTAATAAAATATAAAATATTATTTAAGGGCCAATTTTTTATATTTTAATTAAGAATCTTTTATAGTAACCTACTTCCAAAAGAAATTTGAAACATTTTGTATTAAACGTATTGAACATATCTATATATAAGAATAAGTTATTAAATTGCAAAGTTTCTTTTATATAAATTCTATTTTCAATAATTAAATCATTGATTAAAATCAGGACGTTAAAATTTAAGTAGTATTTTAAAAACACCATATACTTAATTTAATGAAAATTCAAAACTAAAATAAAATTTAATAAATAATATTTTAATTATTTTAAATTAATGATCTAAAGTTTTATCTCCATTATTTTTAATTAAATCTATAATAATAAAAAGATATATAGATACAAATTATTTTTCTTTTAAAAACTTTACTTTGTATTATTATTGATTTTATTATTAATTTTTATTTTTAGACAATAATATATTCAATACAATCAAAAACATTATATTTTATTTTTTATAGATTTTTATATCTTATAGAAATAATAAAAATATTCGAAAAAAAAAATCAATATCAAATATATTTTATTGTAAAATAAGTCGAAAGATAAAGAAATTTATTTTTTTTATTTAAAACACTGTTATACTTGTATTTTATTATTATTTTTAACTAACCATTTATAAAATATATGTTTATATATATATATATATATATACATATATATCAAATTTTAGCTTATGTATAATATAGAGTTAGTATTTTGAGAAGCATTTGAAAGTTCAATGTAAAGACCTTATACTTCTTAAAGGTAAATCAACTATCATAATATATGATGTAGGATGAATAAGTTTTTAAATATATATATTATTTTTCCTCACAAATTTTATTTAATGTCTATAAAATATATAAAAAAATTCAATTGCTAGTAAAAAAGGTTATGTATTTTTTAATCATTAAAAAAAGAATTTTAATTTAATAATTATTTTTTAGATATGTATAGGAATGATTGATTAATATAAGATATTTTGAATAAAATAGTCTTATCTAAAATATTTCTATTATTGCTACTATTTTAAATAAGATTATTTTATCTAAAATATAGCTATTATTTCTAGTTAATTATTATTAATAATTTATATTTGAAAAAATAAACAAACTAATTTTGGTCTTTTAATTTTCTATTATATTGCTAAAGCTTTTATTAACAAATATAGATCTAAAAAAATTATGAATAAGATTTTAATAAGTTTTAACTATAAAAATATATTATAAAAACTAAAAATATATAGAAATTATGAAAAAAATGACTAAATTCGTAATAAATAAACAAATATTCCTTTTAAAATTAATTTTAAGTATAAGTAATTTAAAAAATAACTAATTTATTTTTTAAATCATCAAAACAACATTCCAAATGCTATTTATATTTAGCTATTTATTTATTTAGAAATATAAATTTAAATGATTATTTTCAAATATAAAAAAGTTTAAATTTAAATAAATATATATATATATATATATCTTAAATTATTAAATATCTCATCTAAATAGAATTAGCATTATAAAAACTATTTTTTACTTTTATTTTTGTATTAAAAAAATATTATATGATTTTCGTATTTTTTTAATTATAAAAATATTTTATTCATATATTTATTTATTATTTATTAAAAAATATAAGATATGTCTATTAAAATAGTCAATAATGGTGCAAGATAAATTATAGACTATTTAAGCATTAATACATTTAACTAAGATAGACATATGAGTTTGATTGTATTAAAGACATAAAATCTTTGTGAAATTATATAAATTACAATATATTCTTATATTACTAAAAAAAAAAAAAAAAAAAAAAAAAACTAAACAACTAAAAGATAGATATAGAATTAAAACTAAGATAATTATTGGTAAATATAAAAAATTTATAAAGAATTGAATCAAAATAGAATTTAAGAAAAATATTAACAAGAGTAAGATAGGATTCTTACTTATATCTATATATACTATCTACTAAAGAACTATGTAGCAATGTCTTACAGGCCATATAACATATATCCAACTTGCAAGACATGTATTTTATTTGTAGAGCAAGTTTTTGATATGTGCACAACATGACCAATTTGTAATACAAATGTCTAAATGTACAATATGTGTCCAATTTATTGGCTAATTTGTTAACTTATTGATCTTTTATTAATATATATAAAGTCTATAAAGCTTCTAATTAGCTATTAAGGACATGAAATACAAAAAATCAAAGAATCAATATATACTTATGTTATTCAAAAAGAATAGATATTTATTCAAAAGATGATATAATATTGAAGTACAATGATTAATGCTAAAGATAACAAGATTAGAGACTTTTGAAACTAGACTAAGAACAAGAAAAGTACTCACAAGAGTAAAAAAAGGCTTCATTCTTACCTTATATATACCATCTAACTAGAAGCTATGTAGCAACATTCTATACGACCTCTAATATATGTCCAACTTACAAGACATATGTTTAACTTATAAAATAAGTTTCTTATATATGTGCCATATGGCCAACTTGTATTATAAATTGCAAATATGTGCAACATATGATCAACTTATTAGCCAAGGTTTCAACCTATTAATCAAATATTAACATATATATAATCACAACCGCGTTTATTAAGCTTCTAAGAAGCTTAAAAAAACTACCTATATTTACGTTTTATATTATCGTAGCAAGAATCTGCTTTGGATAGATGCAAGGTCCTTCTTTGCATTCAAGTTGGATCCAATATGCACAAAACCTTCTTAAATTCTCCTTTGAGTATTTAAAAACTATGTTTGTAATAAACCAAAAAACTTGAAGCTTGTAAATTCATAATCCAAGATCTAGCCATTCAAATAAGCTTAAAATTTAAGAGTACAGAGTTTATATTTTTTATCATTATCACACAAATCCTTTGCTACAAATTTGTTACTGATTATTTGATATTACCAAATCCTTAGAAGGTACTTTTGAGAGTCAAAACCAAATTGGAAACTTGAAAATTCATATTCCAAGATCTAGTCATTCAAATAAGCTCAAAAATTTGGAAGTACAAAACTTACACCTTTGATCATCATTATACAAATTCTCAGCTGTAAATTTATTACCAATCGTCTGATATCACTAAAATCTTAACAGATATTTTTGTAAGTCAAAACCAAACTACAAACTTGAAAATTCATATCCCACGATCTAACTATTCAAATAAGCTCAAAATTTGGAAGTACAAAACTTTAACCTTTCATCATCATTACATAGATTTTTAGCTACAAATTTATTACCAATCATATGATATAACCAAAACCGTAGCAAATACCTTTGAAAGTCAAAATCCTAGATATCTAAGAACAAATTTCACCATTTCTTCCAAGTCAAAGTCTCAATTGATATGAGATTTTAGACATAGGCTCTTTATATCATAAGTGACATGTATACAAAAAATGAGCTTCAAATCCATCTTGAAGCTCAAGTTCTAGCTTAAAATCAAAACCCTCTATTTCTTTAATTTCTTCAAAATACTAGTTTTAGTTTGCTGGTTTTAACTAGCCATATCTCACTTATTTTAGACTCAATTCTATTGATCTTTGGATGTAAAATGTTCAACTTGAAGTTTAGTTTCTAATCCAATTTCTTAATTTCTTGTTAGTATCTTAAAACTCCTAATATGCATAGAAAAGTGATAGTAGATATCAAATTAGTAGCTTAAGTTTAAACAAACATAACTCTTTCATCCGAGCTTCAATTCATATATTTTTTCTACCTAAATTCATGATAAGAAATTCTTCTCTTTGAATAATTCTTTTCAACTTATAAAAAGATCCCTCTTTCTTACTTTCGAGCTCGCCAAAGAAGTCACAACTAAGGTCTTCAAAGTCCAAGTCAAAAACTAATAGTTTAAAGTTAAACAAACACCAAATTTAATCCTCTAAGTCAACACTATTAATGGCAATGGACTAATGCTATCCAATATCCCATTCATCTTTAATAAAAAATCTAAATACAATCTCAAAGTCAAAATTCTTCTTACATCTACAAATATAACTCTGAATCTATTAAAATCAAAGATTAGAAAGAAAGTAAAAGAAATATAAGAAGTTTTGAAGGCTAAAGCAAAGATAAAGTTAAGATTAAAGATAAAATAAAATTTAGCCAAAATTTTAGAAAAGAAAAAAGAAGAAAGTAAGAAAACTTCTTCAAAACTGTATAAAAACTAGATTAGTAAGAAAAACAAAGAACTTAATAAAAGTTAAAAAAAAAAGTAAGTCAAGCAAGGTTTTTCTACATGACTGTATTTAAATCACGACATCCACCTCCTCCAAACGTGCTTATCCTCCGACATGTGCCACTATTCATCCTTCATCCTATTTGTCTTCTTCTTCAATCTCTTTATTTTCTTGGCTCCATTATTTGTCACATACATATGTTTCAAAATCTTTTGATAGGCAACTTGCATTTCTTCTTTGGAAAGTTTTTATTCCTTTTTTCTGCTATTGGAATCTAAATAGATGTCTCATCTAATTCTTGAAGTGAGTAAGTTCTATTATCATGTACAATTACAACAACATATGGTCCAAACCATCTCTAAGGAAA